CACATACACTCACACATCCATCCACCCACCCACCCACCCATCCGCACATACACTCATATATCCATCCACCTACCCACCTGTCCACACATATACTCATACATTCATCCACCCACTCACCATCCACACATGCACCCACACATCCATCCACCCACTCACCCATCTGCACAGGTACCCACACACACATACTCAGCTACCCATCCATCCCACAACATTTATGAAGGCCCACATAGAATTTCTTGAGGTCAGGAAGAGATGGCCTCCATCTGGGGAGACTCACTGGTGTTCAGAAAGGGAGCATAGAACTTCTACAGATGATAGTGGGGATGCCTGCACTTGGCATGTGGAAAGGGTGAAGAACAAGACTTTTTTGGAAGATTTGAGTCTTAAAGGACATAGTAACAGCCACGGAGAGGAGACTGGAGGGTACTTTGGCTGAGAAGGAGGCAGGTCTGCGAGAACGAGTGTCACCTGCCTTATCTCAGGGGAGGGGGACAGGATCCCAGGGAGGGGCATTCTTAGGCTGGTGCTGCACCACTTCCACAGGACCCTGATCCAAGTGGTTAGGACGACAGGGTTCTGGCTTTAAGAATAAGCAGAAAGTTCACCTCGAGTGAAGCCCCACATCCCAGTGCCTGCCAGGCCTTTCATGTGGTTCTGGCTGAGAGGAGGAGAAGTCAGGTGGGTTTTCACTCTCACGTGTCTGGTGTTTCAGATGTCGATGAGTGTGTGGACCCACAGCCCGTGTGCCCCCAGGGGACAATGTGCATCAACACTGGTGGAGGCTTCCGATGTGTCAGCCCCGAGTGCCCCGAGGGCAGCGGGAATGTGAGCTATGTGAAGACGTCTCCCTTGTGAGTATGGCCAGGGCCACCCCAGCCAAGTGGGCTATCCTTCACCCAGGCCTCCCAGTGTGTCTGGGCTGGATTCTTCCTTGAGGCTTTTGGGAGAAAATACAGTTATGCCATAGGGCAGATAAGAGGTAGGGAGATGGGGGTCTAGCTTCTGCCTCACTTCAGTGGGCACACCTAATGCTTTGTTGCTCTGGTGCAGGGAGAACCCAGTTTGCTGATGGAAGTAATGAACCAAGTGCACCCCTGCCACGTAGGGGAAGATGGGGTCATAGATGTCCCCAGGTAACACAGGAAGGGCCACTGGAGGAAAGAAGCTATTAGTGGCATTACCTTGTTAATCCCATAGCAACCCAAAGGTCAAGTACATTACATGGGTTTGAGAGTTCGTTTTCTCCTGTTCTCATAGCTAGTAACTAATAGACTTTAGTCACATGGCGTATCCCGTGTGCTATGGGTTATGTTTCTCTGCTTTTCCAATGGTCCTAGAAAGTTCAATGTCTAATAAGCTCAACATTTAAACACTAGACTTGTTTTTTAAAAATTGAGAGATGGGGGCCAGCAGGTAGTGTAGTGGTTAAGGGCGCTGGACTCCCACATGGCCAACTGTGGTTTGAGTCCCAGACCTGGCGGCTTGCTTTCTCGCTTTCCCTCTCTCCCTCTTGCTCTCTCGCTCTGTCCCTCTCTGGTCAAATTTTTAAAAAAATAAAGTAAGTAAATAAAGTTAAATAAAATAATTTTTTAAATTTTTTTTTTAAGTTGAGAGATGCACCTTTAAGAAAAATAACTACAACTCTTACAAAGCGCATGTGTTTTCTTCTTAAAATGAGATCGCCCTAGCATTGTCTTTAAAATGATGAGAATTAACTTCCTGCACTTAAATATTTGCATTGCATTTAGATGAAAGCCCATCGGAAGCAGGAAGTCTGCAGTTATTAAAGACACAGTACCTTCCCCAAGGAGACCCTTGGTGAAAGGACAGGGAATCTGTAATAGACTCTGGGGGCATTTCATTAGCAGCCGGATGTGCCATTTGACCAGCATAATCACGATAGTACAGAATCACAAATATACTAAATTGTATCTTTTATGTTTGACAAGGCAGAGAAATAGGGAATCCCAGGAGTTAAGGAAGATAGGGTTTCCTGCTTTGAGAACAGATGTTGCATTTGGAAAGCTCAACCCGGGTGGAGCACCACAGAGTTGGGAGATATTGCCAGCTCACTGCTGGGCTCTCTGCTGAATGAATGTTCAACGGGGACAGAAAGGGCAGTGGATTTGAACACCAGCATTATGGTCATTACTGCATCTTCCTAGGCTTTTAGTTTTTTGGTTAAAAAAACTAAATATGCTAATATAGTAATACTATATGTATAAATTTTCTTTTTATTTTTAAGAGAGATTTTTTGTGTGTGCTATAGGGCACATGTGCTTGCCAGAAAGACAGAGACAGAAAAGGAAAGGTCACTGTCCCCCCACAGGGGACATGGCCAAGCTGCAATCCCTTCTCTTCCATTCTTCTCTCAGGATTTTGGGCACACATGCACACATGCCCTGCATGAGTTTTATGCCAGTGGGTCCAAGATTTGAACCACGCTCAACTACATGTGAGTCCAGCAACATAACCATTGCACCATCTGCTGGTCCCGGTAGTAATAGCATGTTTCGAGGGGTCTTCAAAAAGTTGAGAGATGTGTATTCTGAATAAAAACTATGTGTGAATTTCAATTATTCTTGCACCAAAATAAACTCATATTTTATTCTCATTTTCTTCATGAAGTCCCCTCATGTACACTTAGGCACACACACATACAGATGGGTCAGGGGAGCACCCAGGATCAGGAACAGAAGCATCACCCCTTCCCTGGCCATGCCTGACACCAGCCACAGTCACTCGCCTGCAGCTCCGAGGCTCCTGGGTGAAGGACCAGTGCTTCACCCAGGTGGCCTCCACAAGAGGGCAGGAGGAGTAACTGGCTCCAGGGTTGCCCACGGCTGACTGAATCATTTTACCTCTCTGCTCCAGCCAGTGTGAGCGAAACCCCTGCCCCATGGACAGCAGACCCTGCCGCCACCTGCCCAAGACCATCTCTTTCCATTATCTCTCTCTGCCCTCCAACCTGAAGACACCTATCACGCTCTT